TGGGTCAATTGACCCAGTCAGTCTTTCTAGTGTTAATAATAAAACTGAAAACAAACGAATTTCTAGATTAATTTAGCGGTCTCAGCATTTTTATAACCCTTGCCATTACAGTGTGCGCGTCGACTTGCGTTCGCATTTTGAACCGGGACCACCGGCCTGTAATATACACACAGTACTCTGCAGCAAATAATAATGCAAATATAAAATCTCAACACTTGATAATAAAAAGCAATAAACCCGCTAATGTTCTACTACATCCACTGCCAGGCGTCTCTCGATCAGTGTATATTATTTACTTTGGACATTAATGCGAACTGACAGGATGTAAGACTGTCATATTCTTTGCCTTTATTTTTAAACTTGAAAACTGCTCACAAAGAACCAAGAGTGGAACTGCATCCGGAATCCTGCAGGTGTGAAACATCAGTGCAGCAATAGAGACATGGTGCTTTTCTGTTTCTTAGAAAGCTTTATATACATAATGTGTATAGCTATAGCCTACTCTAGCTGACATATGGTATAAGTACAAACTGACCGGAATTTTTAAGGTGTAACTCATATAATGTAGGAATATTGTCACTCACCATTTCCACAGAATATTATACCCTTATTTTTCATGTTAAAGGTAAATTAAAGTTTAATACACTGCTGCTAAAAAGTATATCAATCCGAATAAATTTACAGTTTAAGTTAAACAAAATGATCGATAAACTGTTGACTAACCTGCATTAAGAGGGCTTGGACTCCAACTGAAAAGATAACAGAACAGAACAGTGCATTTCAGTATGTAACTGTATGTAATGCTTTCATTTTTATACTTTCGTTTTGACATTGATTGAAACGGAAGTGTATGGGTACAGTTCGTATTACTGCCAGCATGAGAAAATAAAATTTGCCCCGATTCGCATTATAACGAGATACATATCTCACATATGCCAGTCCATCATGGGGCACGGGGTAGGTGACACCCTTGACCAGATGCCAGTCCATCATGGGGCACTGGGTAGGTGACGCCCTTGACCAGATTCCAGTCCATCATGGGGCATGGGGTAGGTGATGCCCTCGACCAGATGCCAGTCCATCATGGGGCACGAGGTAGTGACGCCCTCGACCAGATGCCAGTCCATCATGGGGCATGGGGTAGGTGATGCCCTCGACCAGATGCCAGTCCATCATGGGGCATGGGGTAGGTGACGCCCTTGACCAGATGCCAATCCATCATGGGGCACGGGGTAGGTGACGCCCTTGACCAGATGCCAGTCCATCATGGGGCATGGGGTAGGTGACGCCCTTGACCAGATGCCAGTCCATCATGGGGCACGGGGTAGGTGATGCCCTTGACTGAATGGAAAAGTGGTAAAAACCTGTGGTGTGCAAAAACTACTGGTAGTCTAAATACTGTATATATTTCTAACTGTCAGTGAGAGAAAGAACAAGAGTGTAAAGTCGTATGTCAGCATCGGTGAGGTCAAACTCGCATGCCACTCTGTTTTAGTTGCCCTTGTTCCTGTCATGTATGTAACGTGCCTTGTTAGAATGTGTATTTATGTTGAGCACAATTAAGTCAAGTGAGATATCAGGACAACACTTAAACAAAGGAATACTTTTAGTTTCATCTCTTCACAGATGAGAGCAGGTTCATACTAATACTCAGACGTTAAATGTAATCATCCAGCATGACCAGTTTGGTAAAAGTTCACTTCTCTGAATAAGCAGCATGGATTCTCTATGGACTGAACATTCTTTCATTTTATGTTGACAGTATGGCAACACAGAAAAACCTGTTCATGGTTCTGTGGAAGATTTCACTCTGGCCAACCAACTTCCGAAATGCTTTGCAATATCCCTCAATTTTCCTTTTCTGAACATTGTTAATGTGTGAGAATCAGAGGTTCTTGTAGTGCATTGTTGCAGTGTGCACTTCTGATTTTTGTCTGTGCAACTATCTGTCTTGTAAGGCTTAAAGAAAAATGCTGTTTCCTGTGTAACCAGGAGCGATGCAACCACATAACTGGCATTACGATGGGGGGAGGGGAGGTGGGTCCACAATGTGGCTTTCAGATCGTGAGAATTCTTTAAACACAGCTACAAGAAACAGATGAGGTCATTATTAAACACTAAGGACTCAAGCACCAAGAGACACTAAGAACACTGGAGATATAAGGAGTTCAGGATAAACCTACAGGACTGGACACGGACAGAGAATCCAGAAACACACTAACAGCAAGAAGTAATAATTAGGGATGTGTGCTTTGACGGTATTAGATCATGAATGATTAAAATGTCTTCACTATCTGCTCTTACAGAGAGATAATAATGATAACATTAATAATCCTTTATTTGCCATTTTCACAGGTACAGGTACATTCCAATTATTCTCTCTGCCTACCTCATCTTGCTCTCCATAGATTAGGGGTCACAGAACATGGTCAGCCAAGGTGTGGCGCCCCCTGGAGCTGGGGGTTAAGGGCCTTTCTCTGTTTCTCATCGTTACCTTGGACTGGTAACAAACATGAGGGAACATAGAGGATGTGCATGGATTCAGAACTGGGTTAGCACAGGGACCTGGTCCTGTCATGCTAACTGAGTTATCAATGATATATGGGAATAACCTCAATCATTTTTTTCAGACCTTCGTATTGGTTGCTTCTGCCCTCTCGTCTGCCCTCTGTGTCACAGATGTAGCTCAAGGCTGGTTTTTACTTCACAAAGACCTTTGTGTGCCGTAGTGCTTGACTATCCGTGATCCTGCATGTTCATATTTATAGAGCCAACACGCCAGGCAACCGTGTACTGTGACATCAGACCTGGGGTGTCATGTTTATGATGTGTGGTACAAATTTTATTAGAATAAACAATAATTTTACTAAAAATAACTGTGCACTTTGTACTTACAGTTTGCAAGGCATAGTTATAATCTTTAAGATTTATCTATAATAATCGTAAACATTTCCATAAACCAAAATAAAATATAATACAAAAATAAAAAATACAACTACCTAAACGTCAGTTATAAATACTGCTTTCAAAACGAACTGAAATAAAATAAAATCAAATGGCACATATTTCCCATTTCCGTTTTTAAAAACTATTTAGCTCGTCTACCTTCTGCCAGTTAGATCCTGCTTCCACATCTGCTGATACCTGTAGCTCTGCTGCCCTATCTGATCTGATGAACAAAGTCTCTAGTCTCAGGCATTGTTCCGATCCAATCCATCTATAAACCTGTGTCTTTACATCAGTTCTCAAGAGACCTGCTCTAGGCCCAATCTAAACAGCTATTGGCCATGTCCTCCAGTGCACTAGAAAGAGCTGTTGCAGCCCATTTGCAGTGTAATTTACAAACCTTTCCAATCTGGTATCCGTTCACTCCACAGTACTGAGACTGCACTCCTTAGTGTTCTTCATGACCTTTTCTTGGCAGATGACACTGGGACTGTCAATTTTCTTCTTATTTTGGATATAAACTCTGCTACACTTATGGTGTCTCTCATCTATTGGCATTACTGGTACTGTACTCTACTTCTTATTGATAGACAATACAGTGGTACCTCGGTTCTCAAACTTAATCCGTTCCGGACTCCAGATCGAATCCTAAAAAGTTCGAGTTCTGATCTAATTTTTACCATAAGAAATAATGGAAAACCAATTAATTGGTTCCCGGCCCCCCAAAATTACACCTAAATATGTTTTTTTTTTTTTTGCATTTAGCTGTGCAGCTGACAAAACTGATGTGCTATTCATCCACCCCAATGCTCTATCTGCCATTTACTGTGATACAGGCTTTTAACATTGATAGTCTTCAGGTTAATCCTTCTAAATCTATCCACAACCTTTGTGTTTCCAAATGATATGAATCTTAGACTTGATGCTCACATTAGGTTACTCACCAAGTCTTCCTTCTTTAATCTTCGCAATATTGCCAGGCTTCTCCTCATGGTAATCGGAAGGGATGCCGAAATTCTTGTGCATAGCCTAATTTCCTCCCATCTCGATTATTATCATTCTCTGTTTGCTGGTCTTCCTGCTGAGACACACTGTAAATTCCAATTCCAAAGGCCTTGCTCAAGTGTCCAATGGAGTAGGATCACACCTGGTATTCACAAGATTCAAACCAGCAACCTTCCAATTGCTGGCACAGATCTCTAGCCTCAGACCCACCACTCCACCAACCACAGATAGACAGAGTCTCATAAAATGCACATACATACATTAACTGTGAGTATGAACTGTGGACAAGAAGTAAAAATGTGCAATTTAGTAGAGTGGCTGGCATCTGACCTAACCAGACTCTGAGATCGCTTGTATGTATGAGTGAATGTCAGTGAGCCCTGTGACTGGTATCACACTCAGGGTGTCTCACCACTGCACTGCACTGGATAAGTGATAATGGACAATATATGTGGATAATAATGATAAGGAAAAACACTGTTAATGTGTTGATAATTATTTATTAGAAAAGCTGCTGATGCTTATAAAAAATTAATTGTAATTTTAAAATCCATTCATGTGATAGCAATTTTTGTACACTCATTCACCATCCACTATTACTGTATTGCAGGTAATTTTATTACATCAAATGATTGTTTCCAATTTCAAACTGAGATAGATTAAGGTTAAGACTTCTTCCACCCAACATAAATGCAATGGTACATGATACAGTAAATTAAACAGCATCAGTCAAGACATGTATATAAAAAAAAACATTAAACCGCAAAAACAGAAAGATCATATTTCTTTCCTTTTCATTATAAATCAACATACATATAAATTAATTTGACAAAGTAACATTTTTATTTCACATTCTTGTGATTAATTACTGTAATTGCTCATATCTGCTTTCATAGAAAAACTTGTTTATTCTACAACAGCTTCGTTCATGATTGCAAAGTTTGAAACTCATTGGGTCTCGTTCCTGAAATGTGGGCAGAACGAATTTGTTTATAACCTGTTCATAGAGGGAAAATCCGTTGTTTATCGATGTTTTAGTAAGGACCTGTCTGTCCGTAAAAACGAACGGATCTTACATATTCTCAGGACCAAGCGTAGTGCATATGTAAATAATAAAAATCCATCTTTTTATTCTTGAACTTACAATTTTTCCACATCCCTTACGGGCTCCATAGATAAAGGTTAAGCTTCCAATATTTTTTTTTTCCTTTTTTTGCTTTTGACATTTGGCAGATCCTGGGGACGTGTGGCAGCACCACCTTATATGGTAAGATTTGGGGCGTTGATGGGTGTGGATTGCGGTAATGAACTGACACGCACACTTGTATTTATTAGGGCTGCACGGTATCACATCGCGATGCACTCGCCATCATGTGGCGCATGCGGAATAATCACCAGGGGCCTCATGTATAACGACGTGCATAGAATTCACACTAAAACAGAGAAGGGTCCAGCTGCAGATGCTTGTAGAGTGGAGCTCCACCGGAAATACGTCACCTCCACAGGAAACACGTGGCCTCAACTCAGTGTCACAGCGAATAAACCCTAACCTTAACCCTAACCCTAACCCTAACCGGAGCTCCACTTTACATCCTTAAAGATCACGTGTTTCCTGTGGAGGTGACGTATTTCCGGTGGAGCTCTACTCTACAGGCGTCTGCAGCTAGACCCTCTTGGCTAAAACATGGCGTACGGACAAAACTAGGAATGTGCGTAAGCAAGAAAAAGTCCAGATGCATAAAACTTTGCGTAAGCACAGATCTACGCACATTCCCTTTATAAATCCCAAAGAGCGTGAAATTTTACGTATGTGAACGAGCCCACAGCCACTCCCCCGACCCTCCCATAATTATGTATATTTGCATATGTAAATCTGTATAAATACCCGCTTTGTTCTATGTTTTTCTTAAACAACAATGGATAAACTACGTGGGAAAAAGAAGTATTTCAGCGAGTGCTAAGTGGAAATCATGTTAACAGAAATCGAGAAAAGAAAAGTGGATATTATTTGGTGGTTTAAGTAGTGGCATCAGCAGTAAAGTGGCACAGCGTGGCGTAGTCAGTTAAAAGTGTTGGTTCCGAAATTCGCATGGTGGCCGTGCCGAAATTAAAAAGAAGTGGTCGGACATTAAAATCGAAGTGAAAAAACTGCCGACCGCTCACTGTAACAGTCTTGACAGTACAGGCGGAGGTCGCGGAATTCCTGGTCTCACACCCTTTGAGCAACGAGTTGCTGCGATGATTGGGGGAGAGGGACGCCGATGTCAGCGCGGGTGAGTTTTTCTCGTACCATACTTGTTTGAATTACTTGCATGTTTATGAATAACACGTAGGGCGCAGATGCGGTGTTACTTTCGTTTATTCTTACAGACAATAGTACAAGAGGTGCCCCCATGCAGTGCCGAGGACACAGGCGGCGATGGTGCTGCTGTGCCGAGCACATCTTTGGGCGCTGACTGCACACATTCCCGTGCCTCAGAAACCGGGGGACGACCATCCGGCCGTGTGCTGGCTGAAGCTGGTCTGCAGTCACTAAAAGAAATCGTGAATGCTATAAGATGTTGCTAATGAATTAAACCATCTAAATGATACGCTGTGTGATACTGAAGTTGTAACGCTGTTCCATTTGGCAGAAAATTTGGTGGCTCAGGGTCAGGTTCATCTCGCCTAAGCTCTTCAGATACCGGTAAACCACGATTTTGTGCCAGATTATGCAACACGTGTACAATGCGACACACTTTTTGCCGACTGCATGTATAGCAGCACCCCAGCAGTCTTGTCCAGGCAGCGCCAACAGCCTTAAAGCTGCCCTACAGTGCGCTCCACCACTACCGAACCCGAGAAGGGGGGGCAACATTATAACGCCACTCCTCTTCATTCTATGCATCTGCGAGCAGCGTAAAAAGCCACAACTTCAGTGGGTACCAACTGTCCCCTAAGTTGTCAAATGGTTAGATCAAAGAAAGCTTACAGTATTGGGCCAAATTATAAAATGGGAAAAATCTTCTTACCAAGCAGCCAGCCATCACGTACCACCCCATTTTCAAGTTTGTTTGCAACACTACTGTTTCTGAAAATGAATGAATCATCGGTTGAGCCAGGCCATCTATATAGTCACAACATTAATGCAGGGGCGTCATAAGCATTTTGAATGGGGGGGACACACTGGCATAAAACTAACAAATAATTACTAAATGTGAGGGGGACACGCCCATGCATTAATGAGATGTTCGAATCACACATTTTGTACATGAATAGAGTGAAAGTGCTTTCTATTTACATAAGCATAAGCAAATTCGTTCTCTGAAGGTGCCTTTATAGCAATGTGCGCGCAGCCGATGGCTCCGATTACACTGGGAAAACAGGACATCGCTGCAAATTGCGCTTTAATCTTTGCCTGTTCAACCACAGTGTAAGGAAATTTTATATATCTGGGTGACAAGCGGATTATGCCGTCCCATACAGCCAGCATGGCGCGACTCAGCGTTGACTGAGAAATACCCGATCGGTCCGCAAGTTCTCGCTGAAAAGCACCTGTAGCTAAGAACCCGCGAGTGGACAGAACTTGTAAAGGAACAGGTATGGCGCAATTCCTCATCGTCTACCTTTGTAATGCTGGCCCCAGTTCAGCATGCAGCTCCAAAAGGATTGCTCTTGGAGATCTGAATCGACTTAGAAGCCAGTCATCATCATGGGCCAGGAAATCAGTATATGATCCCTGAATACGCGCTCTCTTCTAATTCTTCCATAAGCTATGTCTTCCAATAACACAAGAGCTGCCATGGTAGTTGTAATAGTTCGGTCATTTTCTCCACTGTTTTATTGTTACAAATTGATAAAAAATCAGGTGCCGTACATTTGTAAACAATATACAATTAATGTCGGTGTATTGGATAAAGTCAGCGTCATGATTGTGAGTTTAAAAAGGGAATCCACATGCAGTAGTAATGACTTGCCACTAAGTGCCGTCCGTTTACAAAACCGAGCAGAAACGTGTGTACACCATGTCTGGAGCTGCCATGAGAATGTACGTAGCGGTACGCCAAGTTTCATTTTTATACATCTGGACGTGAGCGTGGAGACAGACCTACGCAACATTTTTGTGCGTACGCACCGTTTATACATGAGGCCCCAGGACTTTAGATGGGGAGCGCAAAGTGTGGGCCGACGCCAGATTTTCAGTACTATACAGAAGCTTACTTACACCCACAATTTCGTAAGCAGATTAATAGTATGCCTACAGTATAATATTAATGAGATGCGTATTGCGACACCCTTAAGTACTGTAGCGATGTCGAAACAAAGCTTTCTGAAGCTATGAAGCTTCCTTTCCAAATGTGTCAGAAAACGGTTCATTACTCCAAGCCTCACTGGACGGTGCACGGTAGTGGCACCTGCTGGTCAAATTGTTGTCATTGACAGCATTACCTAACTTATCTGTTAACTGTTATTGTGTTGACGAGCAGATGTTTAGGACAGATGTGAGCTAGCTGTTAGTCCTCAACAACGTTACAAAAAGAAAGACTGATACAGAAAGTAGAGTTTTTAAGACATCTAAGTATTTATCTACTTAAGTCAAAGGTAAGGCTGTGTGCTTTGTGGAGTACAGATCGCTGTGTTTAAGGATTACAATTTGACTCGCCATTATGACACTAAACACGCTCAACAAACAAAACAGCAATAGGACTTGTTACTTTTTAATTTAAAGTTAATTTAATGCTAGTCCTTGAAATACTGCAAAAACATGCACATTTTCAAGATCGTTTTTTTGAATGTTGATTAAATAGTGATAAAATATTCACGTTTTTACTATCCCTGCTCCATGTTTTCATTGCCAATTGTGACACCTACTCTTACAGCAGCAGCTTATAAAAACCTTACAATGTGCGGCTTTTTATAAAGAGATCAAATTCATGTCGAGCAGAATTTAATTCAGGCTGTTGGTCAGGCTCGGCCCTCCAGAACAGTCCGTGTCTCATTTGGCCCCCTGGGGAAAATAATTGCCCACCCCTGGCTTATAGTGATCAGTGTCACCAAGCCAGATGTGATCACTATAAGCGGTTTCCACTGTATTTTGGTAACTTAATGGGCTCCATCTGAATTAGACAGTTTAAAGTGAATTGCAATTTTCACTTCACACATCGTTCTAAACCAGAAATTTGAATTAATCGATGAAATCAATTTATCACCCGATTCTGCTTCAAATGATTGAATTCGCTGCAGGAATCCAGCTTTAGCTTCTGCCATTTCATTTTCAATCAGCAGATCAATGTATTCTGGTATAGAAAGTGGGTTGGGCTTTAAAGCGATTTCATTTAGTCGAGTTAAACACCTTTGTGATGTTTC